GCCCAAAAATTTTGCCCGGCACCCTTCAGATTTGTTTAAACGGGATATTTTTGAACCGGAATCCGCGAAGAAACCGAATCAGAAACATTTTCCCAACGGGAGCGGCCTCACAGCCTGGACTAAATATAATAATTATTCGTCACAAAAAGGTAAAAATAAACTCATCTTTTACACCTATTAGGAGTATAGTATATGTATGTATGTTTCTTCAACTTGGATTCCGTGCTTAAAACTGGTACCAGATCTACATTTTCTTTACTCCAGCCAGTTAGCAACAGATTCGGGAGTCAAAGTCTTGGTGTCACACTACATACTCATACCTTCGTTTGGATGAGTATGTACACGAATATTATATATTATACTGTCTGAAGTAGGAGAAAGTTTATATGGACCATTACAAAGATTGTTAGTACTGGTCAAATACAAAACCAATCCTTTTAGGGTTGTAGAGGTTCTTGAACACTATTGATTTTAAAATTCTTGCATAGTCGCCAAATGATTTGCAGTTGGAGGGTTTGCCAACGGCTTGGATTAAACTCATACCTTTAAGAATGTGACACTTTTGTTACTTTATAATGGTAATGGTAGATATTTAGACATAACTGTAAACTGTCCTATTATAGAACCTAAGGCAGATTTATTTGATGGTATCATTAAACTCCTACAGGTACAAGTGACATTGGATATGCTGTAAATTCATATTTGAAAATATTCTCATAATATTTATGTTACTTTCAATTGCCTTAGTTGTTAGTATTTTTTATAAAAGCTCTTGCTCAGCATGAATAATTTTTTTCTTTTCAGAGACAGTTTTATAGTGCTGGAAATGTTGAAAGTACTTCTTGTATGCTGATAAAAATTGGGAGTTCTAACAGTAAGAAGAAATTTTGCTAGGCTCTTCTCCATTTTTTTTGTATATTTAGTAAGGGTATTTGAACATTTGGCGATGCAATCTTATTAGCTGAAATTACGAGAAGACGATCTACGCTTTTGAAAAATACATTAAATCGTAATAAACTGATCATGTAGATTTTGTACAGAATATTCGTCAATTTTCATCCGTTTTTTTTCTATTGTCTACGTTTTGACTTGAGTGGTTGCTTAGGTCTCATGATGCACGAAATTCATCTACCATCATGCCAATCATATTGTAGCTTAACAACCATTCGTCTAGTTTGGTGCTGGTTTTAATCAATCTCACGATTCCTCCTGCATCTTTTGAGTTTGTATTTATATGTTTCAAGCTGGATCTACAAATAGTTGGTTAAAGTTTCTGTTCAAACTTTTCACAACAAAATTTTTTCTCATAAAGTCTTCATTCAATTCTGGAGCCTTATCAGCAAGTTTGTACATGTCCAACAAATGTAATGTTCCCCAAAAAGAATAGTTCACATGGTCAAATGCAAAGAAGTAGGGGTACATTTTTCTAAAACTAGAACAAAAATGTATTCTCCAGTTTCCGCTTCTTTCAGCAAACAAAAATGGAAATGGACTTTACGGAAAGAAACATGCCGTAATCTGATTTTTGACTCAAGTTCACTGTCATACCTGCTGCTGTTCATTAAAATAATTTAAAACTTCTAATATTAAAAATCTCAGCTCAGTGGATTTCGTGCTATTAGTAAAAAATAATGCACAATGATGCACTTTCGCAATCGAATATACAACACAACAGAATTTCAATGTAAAATCGACCCTAACAACATCGCCATTACTAAAGTCGATTTGAGGTTGACTTCAGATTATGAATCTCGCCCTTCCTCGCATCTCTGCGTTTTCCACTGTGCGTCGTGATATGCCTTTCGATTTATTTAATTTTTTCTTAAACTATTTATCCAATCGACATTCTAAACAAACCGACATGTTCTCTGATGTTTGATCTATAACTTTTATAGAAAGCCATTTTTTGCTAGACCCAATATTTTTCGGGGTAGAGCGAGGAGAAACGATTTTAAAAATATGGGTTTTCAGACTCATTCTAAGTCATTTTGTATGAAGGCACTCCGTATACAACAATGGTTTGACGTATTTTTATAAATAAAATAAAAATATTTCTAATGTCCGGATCGATATGCAAATTTGAAGAATGAATTTTCGGATATCGTAGATCCGAAAAAGGACGAAAAACAAATTAGCACTTTTTTGTAAGGCTCCCCAACACTCCCCTCACGCTACGATTTTTGGACGACCAAGTGATTTTGCATTAGAAATATATTAGAAACGAATAAAAATAGGTTTTGCATTTTAGCAACAAAGTGCCCACCAAAATCTATTCTAAAAGCCTTTTTCCAGTCTATTTACTCTTCAGTATGGAATTTTATTTACTCTTGTACAAAACTAATATTTTTATGTTAAAACACGATTAGAATGTTAAAATGATAGCTTTTGTTATACAGATAAACTGTTTAGTTTAAATAATTTCCCCTTTTTAATTTTGTACATAAATAATAAACAAAAAGAGCTTTGAGAATAGATTTCACAAATTCAATAAAACAGAGCATTTTAGTAATTCGGTTTATAAAGTTTATGTTAAATTATTTAATAATATACATAAAAATTATAATCATTACTTAGCTTCTGTTATCTTTGAATTTTGTTTTACTACTTCAACTGACCGCTGCCCTTGCAATATTTTTAAAATACAAAACACCATAACTGCAAATTACTTTACTGTTTGAGTAGGAAATATGCAATACAACACGAGCTCCGGTCGCTCGACTAATACTCTTTAAAGCTGGCAACAGTGTCTGATCTCGCGTTGATCTGTAAATATCTAAAATTTCGTATATAAGTCTTCCCCTTCCCTTTTCAGCTACGGATCTCATTTTGTTGTAAATTTATCATTAATTTCCTATTGGTGGATCTCGGGTTGTCCTCGATTTAATCGGATCTCGCCTTGATATGAAGACGTATATATATATATATATATATATATATATATATATATATATATATATATATATATATATATATATATATGTATATATATATATATATATATATATATATATATATATATATATATATATATATATATATATGCCGGTTTAGAACGTCCTTCTCCGTTGTCCGATACCTCACTTCCATCCTCTTCTATCGTGGCAATCTTCCGTTGATAGATTCCGTTCGCTCATTGACTTTTTTATGTTTTGCTACCACTCTAGTTTGGGTCTTCCTCGCTTTCTATTCCCTATTGGGGTCCAGTTCAGTATTTCTTTTGGGCCATCTAGTATTTTGCATTCGCTCTACGTGTCCGTACCAGGGAAGTTGTTTCTTTTCGATATCCTGAATTATCGTACCTTCTATTCCCATTCGTTGTTTTATATGGCCATTCCTCATTCTTTCTCTTCGTGAAACTCGCATAGATCTTCTTATCGCGTCCATTTCGACTGCCTCTACCTTCTTTTTTTGTCTGTCTGGAATTCTCCATGTTTCCGCTCCATACAATAGGCTGCTCTTAACCATTGTCTCGTATGGTCTCGTATATATTAAATTTTCTCCTTTTTGTTATCTCCTTGCTTCACAAGATGCCATTCAGACATCCTATTATCTTTTTAGCTGTAACTATTCGTTTTTCTATCTCTTTCACATCGGTTCCGATATTGTCGAATGTGATACCTAAATATTCATATTCTTGACATTGCAGAATTTCTTGACCGTTGTCAACTCCAAATTTTCGCTCTGAGAGCCTACACATAGATATTTCGTTTTATTTACGTTAACTGACAAGCCTCATTCCTCATACTCTTCTATCAGCTTTCTAATCATATATTGCATGTCGTCTTTGTCTTTGGCCACTATGAAATGATCATCTGAAAACTGAAGAGTAAACAGGTATCTGTCATCTATCTCTATACCCATTCCGTGTATTTTCCTTTTCCAGTTCTTAAGTGCCGCTGCTACATATATTTTGAATAGTGTAGGAGAGATAGGACATCCCTGACGTAGTCCCTTATTCACTATGAAGGCATCCGTGAGTTTTTTACCTTCTTAATTCTTGATTGTGAATTTTCATACAGGTCTTTAAGTGCAGCTATATAGTTGTGATTGATGTTCGTTTGTTCTAATACCTTCCACAGTCTCGATACTAGGACTGTATCATATGCTTTTTGTAGGTCCACAAATTTAAGATGGGTTTCCAGATGTCTAGCAGATCTCTTCTCTGTGACTTGTTTTAGACAAAATCCGTTGTCGGTACACGATCTACCTGCTCTAAAGCCACTTTGATCTTCTTCTTCTTTCTCTTTATAGTCTTCTTCAATTAGATCTCGCAGAAAAGACTTTTGGACATTTAATGATAATATCCTGCACACTTTAGCCAATACCAAAGGCTAAATTAGCACTACGCATTTAGCTAGTTCATTTAAATATTTCTATGCAATCTAAAAAATTCCCGAATTCAAAACATGACACTGAAGGATGGTTATGTCAGAATCATGTATTTGTACTCATTAAAAGTTATTATAACCACTAGACATATTTTATTATATACGCGTAGAAATAATATTTAAAGATTTCTAATAATGTTAAAGAAATACACAATAATGTTTTATTTAATTTGTATAAATGCATTATAAAGCGTTTTTATGAAGAACATTTGTTCGGAACACACTGTAACTATAATCGAACGAAGGTGATATTTTGGCATAAAATGGTAACACTTATTTGACAGTTGCGGTGTTGACACTTTTTGTACTTTATTATTTTGAATTTTAAAGTGAATACCTCATGTTTTATATTTTTACCTACTTAATAAATAAAATTAATAATAAAACTCTTGTTTTGTTTCTATTTATTTACATTAAATATTAATTTGTTTTGTTGTATAATCCACTTTTGCAATAATTATGTGACCTATTTGATTTAAAATGGAGTCAGGATTTTTTTATACTTTGGCAACTATGTCAACTGTGATCTCTGTCAATGATAATGATGTGCAACGTTAAGTAAATTAGATGGACTACTTCTGAATATACTGTAGTATGTAAATGATAATAACTTTATCGTTTCCGAATAAATATATTACTTTTTGGAATATAACATCCGAAATATTTAAATTTGTTTTTAATATACAGTTCATTAAAAAATATAAATAATATAAAAAATCACGACTCATTTTCATTTTCTGAATTATTATCTGAATCTGGATCTTCTACAGTCTCTCCTAATTCTCTTAATCGCTGCTTAAAACTGTTCAATTTCAAATCCTGGTCTGTCAAAACTTCTAACAAATCGTCCTGGTCCTTTCTGACTCGTTCGAGTTCTTCATCTTTTTCGGCGTTTTCGGCTTCGAGTTTCTTAATTTTTTCTAAAAGGTGAACATCGGGAGCTGGTGGCGGTATTTCATTAGTTTCGAGACTTGATTTACTACTAGGGTTAACTGCGAGTTGAGCTTTCAATAGTGTGTTTTGGTCAGTCAATTGGGTGCTGGTTTCGTGCAATTCTTTTATTTGTGCCTAAAAATAATACAGATATGTAATTGTAAGCTCAAAATTTAAAAATTATTGTAAAAATGGCTACATACAAAAAATACTGAAGACCATCAAGCTTACAAAGAAACCGATAGACAACTACGAAAAATGATAAAACAAGAAAACAATAAAACATGGGATCAGAAATGTCAAGAAATCAATACATACATCGGAGGGAAGCAATGTACAGAGGTATGGAATTTTATAGAATCAGTAAAAAATACAGGAAAAGACAAAGCACACATACACACCATAAAACCAAGACAATGGAAAGATCACTATGAAAGCTTGCTGACAGAGACTTAAGAATAGCATACATGTCCTCAATACAATAGTTGTTCTCTTCGCTTTTCTTTTTTGTTGTTCTGTGTCTATTTTCTTGTGTTTCTTACCTCTACAAACGACGGCGCCCATAACCTAGCAGGACTGAGTAATGATGCCTTCGAGTCACATAGTGTTCTAAGTTTGGCTATTAGTAATTGAGTTCACTATGTATGGTACCACATAGACTGAGATCATTGCCTAGTGATCTCAACATTGAGGGCTAGAATTTCAAATACTAGTAAAGAAAATAAAATGGATACAAAAAAATGGAATGTGCAAAAGCTGAGAGATGCGAGAATTGCAGAACGGTACTCAAAAAACATCACCAACAGGCTAAGGAATCAAAATGTAAATGAAGAATGCCAGACAGATATAGACTCCTACTGGACCAGAATAAAGGAAGACATTGAAGCAGCAGCGAAAGAGGAAATAGGAACAGAAATTTGTGCCCGTAGAAATCATTGGTTTGACGATGAATGCAAGAATGCAACAAAAGAAAAAGAAGCCTTTATCATTTCAGCATTTATTTGGCTTTGTATCGGGACCTGAAGATGCTTTGCATATTGTAGAAAGCGAAACCGGTCGTCTGATAGTTAAATTAAAGTGAGTAAGTCTTATTTATTATTTCTTTACCTATTTGAAATGGACTCACACAAGCAACACATTCATGATTTATTCGGAATAAATTAAACAAGCAAATATTGCTTATAACCACAGATATTGTTAGAAATTTAATAATAAATCCGAACCGGAACTCCAAAATGGGAAAAATTTGAGTGGAACATTAGATTGGTAGGAAAGAAAATCTTGGAGCAATTTTTTATTTTGGCCTTTATCTCATTTATAGTAATACCTTCACCCATTTCCTCTTGAATTTTTGTGTAGGCATTGTCACGGACTATTTTATTTTTATATAGAGATGATTTAGAATTCAAAAGACACTCCAATAATTCTCTATATATGGCAAACTATTTTATGGTTTTTTCATCACTGCAACGAAACATTTTTCAATTAACAAGTTTAAATATAAAACGTTAATTTTTATTACCAACACAACAAATGTGACAATTCTCTGCTAGCTACTGGCATGCTCGTAGCGGTAGCGCGCATTCACACATGCCAGTGAAAGTCCCCACGAATGCGCCTTGCATCTCACTGCATGCTACTAGCAAGAAAAATCAAATTCTTTGCGATTAGCTAGCATGCCATTTAATGTACACACATGCTAGTTTGGGGACAGTAGCTGGTGCTTGCTAGGTACTGCTATGCCATTGTGCTAGTAATAGGCATGTGTATCTCCGGCTTTATATCAATCGAATTCACCCCAATCTCGCCGTATAAAGGTTAGATGTGTGCCAATAGTCAACGGTTTTGTGGGTTCATTTTAGTAATTTAGAGAATAACTATTATTAAACAGATGGCTGGATTTTTTCTAGACCTCGCCAATGTAACAACTTGCTCATAGTGTTAGAAATTATACTGCGTAGTAAACTCTACCTGGCGGTATCCTCGACTTGAATAAGGATGAAGGTAAAATGACGCTTAAAACGAAATATACGCTAGCCCAGTATCTGAAAAGCAAGTTTTATCCGAGGAACGAAAGCGACAAAGGGCACAACTTCGTATTGGAAGAAGGTGAAGGACTCTATCCAGAAAGACTAAACCAATTATAAGAAAATAAAAATATATTTGGAATATAACATGTATACCTGAAAGTTAAATTAAATTGCAGATTATATGTGTCATGAAATACATTAAAGCAAACCATATTTATTAAAGAATTATGATGACGATGTTGAACAAATAGTTTATAACTAGCAAAAATACTTTACCTCTAGATCTTGAATTGACTTCTGCAAATTATTAATGGTCTTCTGACTCTCTTGTAATTTCTTGTCCTGATCCCGAATGAGCTCTTTATATTGCAGCAACAACGCATTCTCGTGCTCATTCAGGCTCAACTCTGACATACCATTGGAAAGATCTCGCTGAACTCCTAAGGCTTGGATAATAACTCCTTCCAGAGATTTTAATAATTTGCAAAATTCGAACTCCAATAAAAGTTCGCTGGAATGTTTAGCTTTAATTTGGGGTTGCTTGGCTGCCTTGGCGTATACTTCGTGTCTGGATATTTCGACCAATTTTTTGCAGTATGTATCAATTCCGACACGTTTCTCTACTAGCTGACTTAAGTTTTCCTTCGAGTAATTTTGTACTGAATTGTCGTTATATAGGACACACAAGCCCATCAGGAATGCACAAAGGCCCTAAAAAATGCGATTAAATTAATAAAATATTAGAAAACATGAACATAAAAATATACAGCGTCAAAAAACTAGGACCTCCAAAATTCCTCAGGCAATAAAAGTAATAAATTTTTATATGTGCCTATCATAAAGTTCGTTATTCTCTTAGTGTTGAAAAAACAACACGTTATATTAATATTAGTTTGTTTTTCGTTTTCACAAATATTGGTTTGAATCTAATGTGACAGACTGGACTTATTGCCTACAAAATATTCGTCTCATAAATGCCTTATAAGAGCCTTGGGTTTAACTACTGACGCCGGCCTGTCGACACTTTTAGATAAAAATTGGTTCAAGCAAAAAGAATCACAAATGTGATTTTGTGTTCTAAGTTGCTAGCTGAACGTGCGCTATATTCTGCTATATTCGCGTGCCCCAACAATTACGGTATAATAATGAACAATGTGGTCAAGCAAACTCTTTAATTAGTAATAGTGGTTTTGTAAATATTCTATAGTTATTAAATGTGTAGTATCGATTGATTATGCTTTATTTTTCTCTAAGTACAACCCGAAAAAATCAAACACATAAGGAATCATCGCCGTAAAGGCTGCATATATATATATATATTATATATATATATATATATATATATATATATATATTATATATATATATATATATATATATAATATATATACAGTCAAAATCGTTTACAACGACACCGGCTATAACGTACAATCGGATATAACAAACAAAATAGTAGATCCCATAAAATGACATACAAAAAACGCATTTATATTGCTTATAATGAACAAATCGGTTAGAGCAAACGTATTTCTTGGAACACTAGTAGTTAAAATATTGGTTACAGCGTACATCTTAATAAATAAGTTTAAAAGTGCTATCCTGTTATGAAATGGACATTGTAGTGTTGTATTTCTCACAGGTATTACCGATATTTAATACCACGAAATGAGAAGTAAGAATTTATTAATTTATGGTTATAGTACATCCGGACAGGCATCTACTTGTCCTTTAGACAGTTAGACCTCCCAAGACGGGTCCATTGTATTACAAAATTTTGTTTATACATATTTCACCATTTGGCCTAAGCCAAGAGTTTCTGAATTTGAATTTAGTTGTGTCTAGCCTTCATTGAAAAAATGTCACGGAAACAATTTACCATTGAGGAACAGTTTGGAATAATTTGCCGAGTCGATTCCGGTGATTCCGCGAGTTCGATTGCCCGGGAATTTAAAACGTCACGCTCGACAATTGCTGGAATAATGAAAAGGCGAGAGAAAATTATTAAGCAATTTAATAAGTGTGAAAAAGGAAAACGCGTTCGGTCATCAAATTACAGTGACATTGAAAGTGCTTTGCTCGATTGGTTTAAACAACAACGCGCAAACAATGTACCCGTGAGTGGGCCGATGCTTCAGGTAAAGGCTGATGCTTTCGCTGTGATTTTGAAGAAGACTTTTAAGTGTAATGCTTCCTGGGTTCAACGTTTTCGAGCTCGCCACAATATTGTCCATGGAAAAATTTCAGGTGAGTCAGCAGTTGTTGACAGATCAATTATAAATGACTGGGTTGAAAATGTGTGGCCTACACTCAGGTCCGACTATAGCGATGATGAAATTTTTAATGCTGACGAGATGGGTTTATTTTTTAGACTGACACCTGATCACACGTTAAAGTTTAAAGGCGAGAAATGTTCCGGTGGTAAACTCTCAAAAGAGCGTGTTACAGTTCTTGTTGCAGCCAACATGTCTGGTTCCATAAAAAGGAAGCTTTTGGTGATAGGAAAAAGTAAAATGCCGCGCTGTTTTAAAAACGTGAAAAATCTCCCTGTTGATTATGATTTCAATAAAAAAGCCTGGATGACGTCAGCTATTTTTGAAAAGACTTTACTAAAATGGGACAGTGAACTTTTACAACAAAAGAAACACATAATTTTAATTGTCGACAACTGTCCATCCCACCCTCCAGTTGACAGGTTAAAACAAATTAAACTCGTTTTTCTGCCTCCAAATTGTACGTCTGTACTGCAGCCCATGGACCAAGGAGTTATAAGAAGTCTTAAAGCATGCTTTCGGAAAGAATTGGTGTACAAAATCATCGAAAAGAGAGAGAATAACGACGATACGAAAGTCAGTATTCTTGACGCTGTACTAATGATATCAAAGGCATGGGAATCTGTGCGGAAGGAAACGATCATCAACTGTTTTCGTTTTTCCGGCCTAACTAAAGACTTACAACCATCAGGAATCGCATACAACGATATTGCACAAACGCATTTGCAGGATGCCATTTCCCTTTTCAGTTCTGACTGCTCTGCAGATGACTATGTACGAGTAGATGACGAAATAAGTACGAGCGAAGAACTCTCAGATATTGACATCGTACTGAGTCACCAAACTAGTGACAAACAAAGTACTGATGAGGCTGATGAAGAATTGGAAGATTTCGGCAAAATCCCTACTGTTGCTGAAGCGTATGCTGCTTGTTCCACCATACGAGCATTTATTCAGACTGCTGAAACTTCCCAGAGTGTAAAAGAATCATTATCGATTGTTTCCACATCAATTGAAAAAATGTTTTTTTCAGAAGTTCAAGGAAGGCGACAAACAAAAATTACAGACTTTTTTCATTAAATATTCAGGTAAAATGTGTTTACATATTTTGTAATACATATATGTATGTATTTTTTTTTTGTCTTTTTAAAATAAATAGTATATGTATGCCTACATTTTATTTACATTTTACTTATACTTATTTCACTACATATTATACATATATGTATGTACATATTTAGATTTGCTTAAGTACAATAAACACATATGTTAAATGTTATGTATATGTTATTATAACATATTATAAGTATAGTTAAAGTAACACATTTTTGCGTCATAACCCTAGGTACAACGAACTAACTGTCCCTATTAGTGTTATATCGTTTATAGCAACCTGTTCATTATAACCGATAGAACTGCTTACAGAGAACACTGGCTACAACGTACAAAAAGCACCAGTCCCCTGAAGTTCGTTATAAACGATTTTGACTGTATATATATATATATATATATATATATATATATATTATATATATATATATATATATATATATATATATATATATATATATATATATTATCGAAGGAATCTCTTTAACATTCCATGGTCCTAAAATATGTGGTATTGTACCCGCTGGTGAAAGGAATTTAATAAGCTTTCCCCCAACAATTGATGGAGATCAGATAAAGTTCCATCACTTACTAAATTATTCATATATTTTTTAGATTGCATAGGTTTTGGATGCGGAAAAAAAAAAAGAAAAAGGAAATTAGACCCCAAACTCTATTTATTCCTAATTATCTAAAAAAAATAATTTATGTAAAAAATAACAGCATCAATATTCAGTGTGACGTTCCCTGTTCTCGAGGCATGAAATGAGCCGTGTTGGCATTGAAATGATAATATTTTCAATGTCTTCTTGGGGAATGTTGTCTCACTCTTGCTGTGCCACCACAATCATCTCGTGGATGGTTATAGGTAAGTTCAGTCTTCTGAATATGGCTTCTGAAACCATATTCCACACTACGTGCTCAACTAGATTCAAGTCGGGTAAGTTTGCCGACCAGTTCATTACCTGAATATTGGATTACTTCAATAGATTTTATTTCCGGGCAGAACATTTGGCATGATAAAATTTTCCCGTCTGTGTTTCTGGTATGTGAATGAGTGGAGTGAACCATACATAATGTCTCCTCAAAACATTACTTGATAAGGAACTATTTCTCGATAAAAGGCTACATATTCTCTTGCACCATATCCTGACTCTCTCCGTGTTCTTATACGGTGGTTGTCACTTTTAATCCGAATGGGAACTCATCCGAAATTTTTTTGTCTCCACTGAAGTAAAAGCTTTATCGGATTTCGACAGGAAGGAAAACGGTTGGAGTTATACACAAACTACTAAAAGCAAAAAAAGTCCCCAGTGAGGCAAAATTTAGAGTATAACGAACAGCGATCTAACCCACGGTCTTGTTCGGAAGCAAAACATGGGTTACGAACATCTGGGACCGGGGTGTTTTACGGGAGATATTCGGGAAAGTAAAAGACTGAAGACGTTTGAAGGAGACGAACAAATTCAGAGATCGGAGAGCCGTACGGGAAACCAGAAATTCGCCGCTGAGAAGGAAAGACCTGCAAACAATAGGGATAACAAATTGAAAAACTGTGGCCATGGACAGAAGAACATGGAGGAAACTTGAAAAATTAAAAAAAAAGTTCATATGATTACCGAACCATGTTAAACGGCCAGTTCTATGTTTTCTAGTAATCCTAGGCACTTTTAAAGGTTTTCTCGATCGCAAATTTTCACGACCCTTCGTGAATTGACTTTGAAATGAGTCCACCGTACGTTCTTACGAAACGCGTTCTTACCGCTCTAGATATTCCGATTGCATCGAACAAAATTGTCTAAATATCGATCCTATCTTTCATTTGTCATACGAGATCGCCAACTGCCAGGTTTCCTTTTACAAATCCAGATCCTTCAAACAATTCTAATATTAGAAGTTCTGAGAATGCCCAGCCTCATTAAAATCCTACCATTTGACCAGTTGTATTGATAGAGTGATTCTTCTGGCTCTATAAAAATGCGAGATCCAGAGGAACAAGAGGATTCAGAGGTACCTGAAGGAGTAAACATCGTTTTGTTGTTATCGTAAATTACCGTGTTTATAAATAGTTTTTAAACTTGTTTTGCGATTTTAGACTTGTTCTAGAATGTAGACAATAATAAAGTGCAGTATACTTATATACGTGTATTTTTGCTGGTGCATATAATCGCTAAACTTGCACAAAAAGTGTTTCATTAAGTGCATATAACCTCACAAGAAAATCAAAACAAATTTGGAGATTGCGTCAGTTGCTCCATATCTAGGCAACTTCTATGACTATGGTGTATGATAAGTTGCTGTCTTCTGACGCTCAACAATGAAATCAAACAAACATTCAAGAAACTGTCTTTGACTATGACGATATTTCAAATTCAACAATGTCAACAAAACAAATTGTAACCAACAGAAACTCAATCACCAACAGTAACATATATTACACTGCTGCAGTAAAATCCGCACCTAGACCAAAAGAATTGGTATTTCAAATATATCTCTTTTTATTCCTCATGATATAGCTGAAAATGCTATAAAAAGTCTCAGCTTACAACTAGCATCCCCAATATAATTTCTCAAAACAGGTATTCCTGGAGACGAATACAGCCATGTTTTAAGCTTCAGGCGCCAAGTTTATACATTTCCCTCTTCTGATAACTACGAACTACAAACAACGATAACTATTCCATATGATGGTAACGAACATAGAATATTCCTTTCTACAGATAGAATGAAATGTCTTATCTGCAAGCAAACAGGACATGTTGCAAATAACTGCATTAATTCTTCATCTTCCACGGCTTCTGAAAAATTTCCCAAGCTGAGCGAACCGTTCATACCGTTTTTCGTTATACTCGGTTCGTTCAGCTTTGAAATAATTTGACAGATTAATTGTCGGAAACATACTACACAAAAATGCCTACCTCTGACTATTAATAACCCAAACAAACTTACTATTGCAGCCTTTTTTATTGAAAAGAAGAATAATCATGAAAATGGGAGTGTATATTCATCAGTATTCATTAAAAACTTTCAATTTACAAATACTAATCCGTAAACGAATATAGAATTTTAAAAATAGAAACTTTTGATTTAATTGACTCAGTTTTATTTTGTTGATAAACTACATGTGAATAATTTTTTATTTTAAGTTACAATTAATATTGTCTAAAGCACGTATGCTTGGTTGTATAGTAATTTACTGTCAGTTAAAATTCCACCACCATCACAAAAAATAATTACCAAATTTACTAAATAGCCGGGACTGAGATCAGTGAACCAAGTAGAACTTAAGAAATAAATATTTTTTAATTCTGCTTTAAAATTCGTTTTCTGGTAATTTTTCACGAAATAAAAAAGTTGATCTAGGAACATTTTTAAGCCAGATACTTTTTGTTAAATTCGTTATTTGTTTATATATTAACATTAAATTAAAGACCTTAAATTCCAGTAATAACTCAACTAACATTTCAACTTAAGAATCACCATGGCAGATAGAAAAAAGTTAATTTTTTTAAGTTAAATAACGATTTAAAGTATCTCCTAAAAAGAATCCCCAGCAGAGAAATACAGCTGAACACATTGAGGAGATTAAACATATCGCAAATGACTGGCTTTCTTTTACCAAGTTCGAATGCCACAGAAACTAATGATTCCCAATCGAGGTTGAGCATCCCGAAAATTTCTTCCACAGGTATTGAAATATTAACAAACTTTTTTGCTATTTCAGTTTCCCTTCGTAGTAGTCAAATTGCGTTTATCAAAAAATCTTCCACTATTGATTGAACAATAGACTTCTGTTGTTGAACAATGAACAATAGAATATAAGTGTCGTTTCGCTGAAAATGAACATTGTGTGGGCCAGACGTTACCTCATAATTCCAGACAGACCCTCTTTGTAAATTTACCAGTCAGAAAAAATAAAAATTCACTCATCAGACAATATACAATAAAAATCACATTTATCACAAATAAAGATAAATTTGCCTCTACTCTCGTGCGTTTTTGATTAATATAAATTGTAATATAATGAATAGCTTATTTTTTTAATTAGTCACAATCATGGGTTGAGTTTATCGAAAGTACAAGCTGATTATAGCCGCAAATGTCAAACATGAAACAAAAAAATTCGGTTTAGCAGTGTTGGCATGTTTTCATGTATATGCGGTATGCTTCAAATATAAAGAGATAAAGCTTTAGAAAAAAAGCACATTTTGATTATATTATGTTATGAATTCTGCAATTTTTAATACCTGGAGGAGTTCTTCGTTATTATCAAACTCGCTAGCAGACGTTTGCGCAGTCAGGTAGGCCATCGATCCAGGAACATTTAAAAAGATTTTAACAGCTTCTGACGAATGTGACATCCACTGTGCTAACAGCATTAACACTCCAAGTTTTGCTTGTAATTTACTCGTATGTTGTAGATATACTGCACATTGGTGAAGTAAACTAACAGGCTGAGATCCTAAAAATGATAAATATTTAATCATATGTATATTTAAAAAACAGTATATCAGTACCTAAGCTTGAATTTATATAAACATGCAAACTTGGTCGATTTGTTTTTATCCAAAGTGATCATGATCGTCATAAATTCTTTGATAATAACTTGGTATGGAAGATCTAATAGGAAACACGCGATTAAGGATGAAGGAGACTTTCGTTAGGTTTGAGAAGGAAGCAGAGAAGATGGGGCTCCAAATCAACGAAAACAAGACGAAATATATGTATATGAGGCGCAATAACCAAAGCAGAGACAGAATCGGTCAGAACATTACCATCGATGACTTTAACTTTGAGCGCGTTAGAGAATTCAAGTATCTTGGAACAACAATAACTGAAGACAATAACGGATCACAAGAAATAAACAACAGGATTCAGGCCGGCAACAGATGTATTTTTGCCCTCCAAAACCTTATAAAATCAAAACAACTAACATGACGTACGAAGATACAGGTCTATAAAACAATCATACGACCCGTTGGGATGTATGGAAGCGAAACGTGGACGATAACAAAGGCAAATGAAGAGAGACTACGTGTTTGGGAAAGAAAAATCCTAAGGAAGATCTTTGGTCCGGTGCTTGATGAAGCATCAGGACAATATAGGATAAGAACTAATAAAGAGCTTGAAGAACTTTACCCAGACGCCAACATCATAAAAGAAATAAAGTCCAGAAGACTCCAATGGGCAGGACACCTTAGAAGACATTTTGACGAACGAACAGTAAGACTGGTGTGGGAGGAAGTCCCAACTGGAAGGAGACCACGCGGACGCCCTCGTCTCCGGTGGCGAGATAATATAGCAGGAGACCTAAGCACTATGGGCATGGAGAATTGGATGGAGGTTGCTCAAGACAGAAAACAGTAGAAGCATGTTGTCGAGTCGGCTAAAACCCACGAAGGGTTGTAACGCCACGGAGTAAGTAAGTAAGTAAACTTGGTATAGAAGTCCATATAGAAAAGTAGTGTAGAAACGAAATAAAATTTTTGTTCAAAAATTAATTACTATTAGTTGAATTAAAAATATTTGCGGCCACTTTTTGACTGGCAACCTATTATCAATGTATTCTCCTAATTTTAAATGTATGTATATAAAAATGTAAGTTTGATTACGTTATGAACGTAGTAATCCTGCAGTGGGGTCTTGGACTATAATTATTTTCTTATCTACATAGGAGCAATACATTACATATGAGATATGAAGCCCTTTGTAGCTATCTAAATAAAGTTGACAAAAAATACAATTATTTACATGACTTTCCTTTTTTAATTAATGATATTCATAAATAGTAACAAACTGATAGTTATTATAATTTGACACCATTTTATATATTCAAATAGATAAGTAGTTAGCTATACGTCAGTAGTTATATATATGTCAGTTTTAAATTTTCAATTCGTTTAAAACAGTTTAATCTTTCAAAACCAAAACAAAAAAGTCATCAAATTATTTGATTTTATTTAACCTTCTTTGATATTAAAATTAAACCTGAATGTTTTCCAATAATAATCTGTACATATGTGTATCTTGTTTATCTTTATATCATAATATAAAATATCTAAAAATTATTTAAAAATTGGTTCAGACACAGAATTCTTTACTATTCTAGAGCTATTTTTATGTGGTATCTTAATAAAAACTGATCACATTTTTGGCATGGGATTCTTACTCAATAAATGATTGAAATCTATGTTCATAGGTTTTGACTCCCTAAATACAAGGTTATTCAATGACAGCATGATAAATATCCATGCACCCACTGAAGATAAAGGAGATGATAAGAAAGATCTATTCTAGGAGAAATTGGAGAACTTTTTCAGACATTGAACTATGTCAAAAGGATGACATAAAAATTATTATAGGTGATTTCAATGCAAAAGTTGGTCACGAAACAATCTATTGCCTAACTACTAGTAAGTACAGTCTCCACACAGTCAGCAACCAAAATTGCAGACGCCTGATTAATCTTGCAGCATCATTAGGAATGGTGGTAGCAAGTAAGTGTGCCCACAAAAACATACAGACGGCCTATCAAAAATCCAAATCAACCATATACTTATCAACAGTTGGCATTTCTCTAACATAATGGATATATAACTATGTATAGGAGCTAATATAAACTCAGATCACTTCCTAGTAAGACCAAAACTCAGAGCCCATATATACACTCCACTCCAAATTCCAAAAAGGGCCACACAAAAAACACAAAATACTACCCTGATGGTATTACTACATTCCACATTCGAGATGTGGACCTACTGAAGAATATTAAAAATAAGTTGGGTAGACTGAATAGCAAATGTTGAGGTTTTCAGAAAAATGACAAAGGAAATGGAAATCATGAATACGAAAATGATCTTATTAAAATAAGAAAGTTACAATATCTCAACCACTTTATGAGAGGAAATAAATATGTGTTGCCACAAACCATACTGCGAGAAAAATACATGGAAAACGAAGTATTGGAAGAAGACGCATCTCCTGGCTCAACAATCTGAGAAAGTGGTATAAATGCAGTTCCATCAACTTGTTCAGAGCTGCAATCTCAAAAGTGAAAATAGCTGTGATGATTACCAACCTCCTTACAGGAGACGGTACCTAAAGAAGAAGAAGAAGAAGAAGAGGTATTTCTACTACCAAGAATGTATGAAAATCTATGCATAGAGGAACACAGGTCTAAACATAAAGAGGCAATTCACACTGCGAAAATATGGGAAAATATTTCACACTGAAATCTAATAAGACTAGAAGAAATGATGACTAGCTTAGTACGTAAACACCTGTGGACTGAAAATTAAGTATAATATGTCCATTTCACAAGAACGGGACCTGATGGTATACGACAGCTATAGAGGTATTAAGCTTCTCAACATGGAATACAAAATACTAACGAGTGTACTATATAGGAGAATGTTCCCTTATGCTGAACAAATCATAGGGGAATCAATGTGGCTTTCAACCTAATAAATCAATAGCTGAGCAAATTTTTACAGTGAAACAAATTTTTGAGAAAACCTTAGAATTTGAAGTCCACACCCACCATATATTCGTGAACTTCAAGGCAGCCTATAATTCAGTAGATATATAGAACTTGTTCCAGCCTATGGTGGAATTTCGGATGCCATTCCAGTTTGTTAAACTAATGTAACTAATACTTACACCCACAGATAGTATAGACAGAATCCAAAATGGCATCTCAAGGTCCTTCTGCTACAAATCAGAGTAAGACAAAGTGCCAGACTGTCATGCCCCCTTTTTGAAATAAGCTTACTGTATATAGAACAGCAATAAGGCCAGTTTTAGCTTACAGAGCTGAAACACGTCACTCACACACAATGATCAAAAACTGCTTAAATGGAGGACTAAAAGAGCAAAGTTTGTGGTGTAGATGCTACAACTTTGAGTCACGCCCAAAATAGATTAGGTATGTAGTCAGAGGTGAGTAGGTGAGGAAGATGCGATGGTGAGAAAGGTAATTGACTGAAGAGTACCAGTGGAACAATATACTAGAGGTACCTGGACAACTTGGAATATGAATTAAAGGATAGTGAAGAGGGGATAGAGATATTTTTTTAATAAGAAGGCAAAATACCAGTTCATATCTAAAAAAGACTGATTTTTATAATTTATTAGATACATTTTATTACATACAAACTTCTCATCTGTCCAATTGCTGTTAGAAAACATTTAGAAATTTTATTTTAGGAACATGTCAAGAATAAATTCTCAAAAGTTAAATAAAAAAAACTCAAATACATTAATACTATTGGCAATTTAGATTGTTTAGCATTCAAACTCCAACAAAATGCATTTACATAGTGTACTCCAGTATTGTAAATATTTTATTAATAACGCTTTCTAATAATATGAGCACATTTTTGATTGTATGTATAGACTTACCTAAACTAGTAGCTAATAAAACCCTGAGTAACTGTTCTTTCTGAGCTGGATTTTCGATGAGGCAGTGAGACAAGGCCACAGCTGAAAACCAATTACTCAAATGATCCTTACTGAATAAACCACTACACAATATTTGTCCCATACTAAGATTAGAAGCTGCAGTGTTGCTAGGCAGCAAAGTTTGAACCACTAATTCTTGTCCAATCTCATTCTTAAACAAAAAACATTCAAAGCAATATAGCACCGCACATCTTAGGGTAAAAGGCTGCTTCTCATTGACCATGGACATTAATAGAACTACTATGGCTGGGCGAGGCGGATTCGAGGGTGCTAATACGTTTGTGAAGTATTCTTGATTTGTTAAATTTCCTCTGATTACTTCTCCTAAAAGAGTAAAATATTTAGTACAATGAAGTAAAGGTGCCTACTAATACAAATATATATCCAACTTTATGCAAAAAAATGGTTACTCATTTTTATGGTGGATTTATAGAAAATACTTTTATAGGTGGCATGATATTTTTTTAATAATAATTCAAAAATGCTTTCTGTTGTCTTTTAGTTACTAAATTGTAAGTCATACAGAAAACCGAAAGTACTGAAAATGGGCTGATGTATGATCTCATAACTGATAACTGAAATTTTAGAAAAACTTCTTCCAAACATTCCTAACATTCGTAAAATAGTTTCAAAACACAATTCAGATTTCTGCTTTATAATCTGAGCCTTCTAAAAATTGCAAGGCAAACAGACGTTGATAAAAGATGTTAATTGTCACTATTGCGTCTGTATTGAAGCCATGTTATTGTTGCTTCTTAAAAGGCAGAAAATATTGATTTTTCACATTGAGAAGCCCTATGAATAGCTCTTCTGACGAGACCTATTAGGTCTAAATACGTATCAAGAGATACATAGGATTTGTTTGCGTGAAATCAAATATTTGCTGCCTTTTCTCATTTTAATTCCTAACATTCTTTGCAATATAGTCTTTCTTAGCAATTGCTTCTTATATATTGTCCTGATAAATAATATTCTCATCATCATATTATTATATATCTCAGGGAAATAAGGAAAACACCATATTAAGAACTTAAAAATTATCCAGGTATCTGGATATTTTCCAAGTCATATAAAACATATAGAAAACCTACGTTTTCTGCAAAGATTTTGATTTTGTTTTTTAACAATTAAGTACCAAAAATGCAGTTTTTTGATTTTATTCTTACCACTAAAAGGGTATGAAACTATAAAAGATTTAAAATTGTGTATTATAGAAGTTGTAAAATTAATTTGTTGCTAAAAAAAGACAATATCATTAATAGTTTATGTTTAATAAAACCTACACCTTTTATTATTGCAACAAGAGATACTTCTTGTGATTAATAAACCCTCAAAATTTCAGAGGGATTCATCAACTAGTTTAAAAGTCCTTTCGTCTCTTTCTTTTAATTTAGTTTTTTTTAATTGTAAATATGAAATTAACAATATTTTTTATGATTTATGGAACTATTTTTACAGTTAAATTATTTATTTTATGTTGATTACTATTTAATTAATTATTTGATAGTAAAAAAATGCTGACAACTAAATATTGGAATAAGAGGATTTTAACAAATTAAAATAAAAATTAATACAGCATAATATCACCCTTAGCTTGAATAACAGCCTGAACTCTATTAGGGATTGTATCAACTAGGTCTTCACAGAATTCAGGGGAGAAACTATCCCATAGGTGTTGTTTCATTGTGTGGCAAAGTGTCTCTATTGCATTAAGATCCGGGCTGCTAGAAGGATGTGACAAAACTTTAATATCATGTTATCCCATTGATTTTTTGGTAGATTTAGCCATATGGAATGAGCCTCTGTCCTGCTGAAAGATAAATTCTCTGGATGGATATAACTTTGCCACACTTGGTAGAAGCGAATATTCAATGATATCTTGATATTCCTCTGCATTTACTGTAGTCTCAATAAAATGTAAAGTTCCCAACCATTTGGCCTACATACAACCCTCCCATGATCAGTAGGGTTCCCATGTGCCATTATTATATTTTACTCATAATAAAACTGACAGTTGTCTTTATTCATACTCAAATGACGCATGACAATTATTGTTGACAACACACTACCTACTTGTATGTTTAATTTCACAGCCTTCTTTGCACCTGATAAAATTTAAAACATGTGATGAAAAGCCAAAAATGTTCCAATATTTAGTTGCCAGCAATTTTTGATTATCAAATGATTAATTAAATAGTAACTAATATAATATATATAATTAAACCATAAAAATAATTGCATACATCATAAAAAATGTTTTTAATTTCATAGTTACAAATAAAAAAAATGAAATTAAAGAATTACAGTAAATTAGCATTATATTCGCAAATTAACTGCTTGTCCCAACATATAGTTGTTTGTAACTATGTAGGCTCGTAACACAGAAAATAATCAACATATGATACTACTGCAGGTACCATATGGAAGTTAAAGAGTTGTACTATCAATATGTCCCAAAAACAGTAAAAAAAATCATTTTTATTAACAAAAAATTCTGTAAATTAATTACTATTAAACTGGGAATAAGCCACAATTAAAGATAAAAATATGTTTATTGACGTGTCAATTTCCACTTCGGAAATCGTTCTCAAAATACAAAACGTTTTTGTATTTTGAGAACGATTTCCGAAGTGGAAATTGAAACGTCAATAAACATATTTTTATCTTTAATTGTGGCTTATTCCCAGTTTAATAGTAATTAATTTACAATGCCACAAGAAAATAATTTTAGAACAATATTAAAAAATTCTGTTGCATAATTACTGTAATTTCTAGATTATAAACCTTTAGAATAATTTCTATTGCTCATAAAATAAATCTTTTTCAAATCAAATAAATTTGATAAAAAGTTAAGTAGTTTTTTTAATCTTTAGTCAATAATTACTTACATATAGTTTGAAAACAAACAAGGAATAGATACATCATAGACAGCAGTACAGTCTGAAAACCTAAATGTTAGGTGAAGAACATTTGTGATCAGGAAAAAAAGTTAAATCCAATAACTACATAAACATATCTATAATCTGAAGGTGCATTTAGAAATATTCTATGCAGATTTAAAAGAAAAAGAAACTTATTTTAACAATTTAAAACAAAAAAATTTTACTCTGCTCTTGAAAATTTCTTTATTATTCTGTCTATAAATTTTCTAATAATAAAAGGTTACAGCTGTATGCATTATTTTATTTCACTGAAAAAAGTTGAATATACTAACCTACTGTGTTGATAGTTTCTGTAAGGATATCCGCAGGTACTCCATTTGCCATTAAAATGTTGCACAAAGCTTCTAATAAATTAGTGTTTCTTAAAGTTTTCTGACAAGCAGTGATAATTTGTGCAGAATTATTTGGAGATACAACAGTGCGCACCAATTGCAGGACACAAAGAAAATTAGACACTTTTTGTGGAGTCCAGCCAATTTCCTCCAAATTTGGAGGCAACTCAAACATGGGTGCAATTCTTTGTAGATAAGAACCTTCTTGGAAGAAGTTGATGTTACTATTATTATTTCTTAAAAGATTCAGCATTAGTAGTAGCCCATCTTCTACTACAATACCTCCATCAGTCCAACCTTCACCTCTTATTATATCAAAAAGTCTATCAAATGCATTTTCAAATGCAACTATTTTTTGCATATTGGCATTAGATTTGGTTAAATTAATTAACAACAACAATGCATCATTTCTAATAACCTCCCGATTCTCTAACAACAAATCCATTAGCTTTGACACACCCATGGGGCTGACTAGTATGATATCCTGGACATCTTTTGGTTTCGATGCTACTAAGGATGTCATTAATCTTACAGCTGGCCATCTTACCCTAAAATCGTATTCTTCCATAAATCCTAAAATTAATGTCACATTTTCAGGATTTTTAAGGAACATTTCTGTAAATTGTTCTCCTACATTAATTTGTCTATTTAGGTTTTCATTTTCCTCTTCAAATGTTTCTTTTGACGTTATATTGCATAAGGTATCCAAACAGTATCCTACTATTTCACAGTCACTCCTGTCCAGTTCTAATACTTGTCTCAATATGTCTAGACCCTGAGCCCCAACTTCCAGTCTATTTTTCTTGGAAAGGGCTTTAATAGCTCTACAAGCATCTCTTCTATCTTCTAATAATGTAGACGTACTAACTCGACTAAATAATCTTTCAACCTACAAGAAAATTGATTGACAAACATATTGAATTTTATTGATGTTATGTTCTTACTATTTCTGCATCTGTGGGCTGATTTCCGGGTGTTGTTGTACCTAAGACAGATTTAAGTCCACTTCTAAAATATTCCATTTTTGTTTAAATTTTTACAGCGGCACAGTCATAACTTTATACATTTTATTATTCAATTCCAAATCAAACCTAAAATCAACACATCACATATTCATATTTACGATACATGTGTCACAGTCACAGTCACAACGCCTACTGTCAATGTCAAACCTGACAATTAAATTGTGATGACGTTTCTGTTTTCATTGGACGTGATGAAGCATCCAACTTGTAGGAGAATTAATAATTATTATATTATGTCTTATATTTTATATGTCTTAATATGTCTTTATATGCTTATATAAATATAAAAGGAGAACTTTTATATAACTATACTTTATGGAAAAAAGATATTATACAGTTTCCTAGTTTGTTGGGAAATTGGGAATAGTCCTCAATTTTACTTTAAAATAAGTTTAGTTTGACTTTTCGATTTCCACTTCGATTATTATTAAAATCCAGTTTTTGAATAACCTAAGACGTATCTAGAACTATAGGTACATCAAACCTAAAATATATGACATCAAATAAAGTGCTTAAAAACGGTTTATCATTACTTACAACATAAGTAGGTATGTATCTATGTATGTAGTATTTTTTCTATATTAAAGAACAATAAAATACATCTACGAAACAACTAATTTAAAAAAGGTTATATTAAAAATACCATACATAATTACGTTATATGTAAAATGATTACAATTTTAATTTAATTAATATCAACTAAAGGAGGTTGCGATTGCGAAGTCAAAATTCTGTAATGTTGGTTGCGTGCATTGAGACTTTATAAATATAATATACATCCATCAGATGGGTATTCACTTCCGATTTAACTTCTTTTTTAATTACTATTAGACTATAAAAACATAATAAGCAAGCCAATATTTTGTAGTGTTGTTTCATTCATAAATAATTGTTTCTTTATATAGGTGTTTTATTAATTAATATCAATGAATATAGACATATTCGTTAATAATACTAATAAGTTTTCCTCCGAGAAATTCTGGACAACTCAAGACTAGATAGCAGTGGTGTCATGGTGCCGGAACGCCGTTCCGGCACTGGTTAAAAAAAGAAAAAAAAAATAGAAAATTTAGTTTTGTAAATGAAACACGGATTATAGAAAACTTTCTCTATATTTCGATACAGTACAACGATTCACTCCGCAATTCGGGTCAATCCAGAATCTTCGGATTTACCGGAACTGCGGATTTACCTGAACTCCGGATTTACCGGAAACTCCAGAAGGTGCAAAAAACTATAATGTTATTTTTCGAAGTAGGGAAAAAAGAACCAACTTCTGTTTCTCCTTCATCATCAGCTACAGATGAGGAAAGTAAAGATCATTTAACCGAACAGTCTAATTCAATTGAACGTTGTCCTAAACCGTATGAGCCTGATCGACTTGGTCTGAGAAAAAAGAAGGTTCTCCTTGGATTGATTATAAGGAAGGAAACTTGGCTGTAGTGTTTGTAAACACGTGTCACATTTGGTGTCAATAAGACAGAGCGCTCTCGCATTTAAAAAAAATGGCGTTCTTACCAGGTTACTTTAAATGGTAAAACTAAGGCTGCTCAACTTATATCGCTAAGAAAAAAAATTCGACCATAAAACATCCTCTAATCATAAAGCAACCAAAAAGATTGTTGAAGTAAGCAAATCCCAAACTATTGAAATGGTTACAGATGCCATGAATATTTCGCAACTCGAAACAACAAAAGTTGTTTTCATAATTGCTCACTATCTAGCCAAGAGCAATAGACCTTACTCAGACGTCTTTGACCTGTTAGAATTCCAAAGAATGAACAATGTTGATATTGAAATCGAGCTACACTCTAGAAATACTGCTACAGAAATAATTGAAATAAAAACAAAAATTATCAAGTTAATTTTAAACATTTCGGGTAAAATATCAGTTATTGTGAGAGGCATGCTGACCTACGGATGTGAATCTTGGACTCTGAGACAATCGGAGAGAAGAAAGATAGACGCCACTGAAATGTTCTGTTGGAGACGAATGTTACGAATTCCTTGGAACGACCGTAGAACAAATAATTCAGTTTTAAGAGAGCTAAAAGATAGCCAACGACGCTCTAGTAAAGTCCATCTCCAACAATTAAAATATTTTGGGCATGTTATGAGAGCAAACACAGAAAACATGGAAAGACTCATAATACAAGGAAAGGTAGAAGGCCGAAGATCACGAGGAAGATCCCCAACAAGATGGATAGATCAAATTACAGGAATATGCCAAAGACCTATGCATGAATTAAAAGAAATGACCAGAGACAGAGATCTCTGGAGACGGACAATACATGACATCACGTCGACCACTACACTCCCCCTGGGGGGTCAGGATTGAAGAGAGAGATCAGTTATTGTAGACGAGTCAATAGCTTCAAAATCTAATCTAGTAGTGTATTTAAAATGTGAGTTCAGCAAAGAGCAGAATCCGCATTTTTTGTTCTTAGAGTTAATTGAACTGAGCAGTCAAACATCTCAGGTTATTGTTGAAAGTTTGCTAAACTGTTTAAAAATGAATGGATTTGATTATGATTACTTTACTTTTGTTTCATTTGCAAGTGACATGCTGGGTAAAAAATCAGGTGTAGCTGAAAGATTGTTTGAGATGTACCCAGATATTATTGTTTGGCATTGTATGAATCATAGACTAGAGCTAGCCTTAAGTGATGCAGTTGATAAAGTTGTTGCCGTAAAACATTTTCAAATATTTATGGATAAAATATACTTCATTTACAGTGTCACCGAAAAACAACTCCAAAAAATTGGAAAAGTTTTAGGGACTCGATGGGTTGCAAGTTCTTATCGTGCAGTTTCGGCTGTGTGGTATGGTTACTATGCCATTTACAACCACATTGAAAAGGCAAAGACAGACAAGAACAGAAGTTGTACTGAAAGATCTATGTACTGTGGCCTATCAAAGCAATTTTCATCATTACAGTTTCTGTTAAATTTAGCCATTATGTATGACATTTTGGTGGAACTTTCGATGCTTTCAGAGGCTTTGCAAAACAAAGACACTACTATAGTTTATGCTGATAAATTGATCAGAAGAAGCATTGATTTTTTTTAAACTCTGAAAGAAAAGTCTGGAAACAAAAGCCTTGAGGCTTAGATTGCTGAGAATGACGGTAATTTCAACAATGTCTCCATTACAAACCATCCAAAAATTGCGACCATCAACCACAAACAACTGATAACAAGTGTAATAAACAACTTAACTAGAAGAATGTTTACTTCTAAATCCAGTCATCAAGCGCCTCTTCAAACTGTATGTAACAATATGATTCTCTTCTATCTGATTTAAAAGTACTGGAATCTTTGAAAAAATTCAAAATCTCAAAAATGTGCAAAATGTTGAGCTTAACTAAACCAAAATAACAAATTGCTTTCGAGATTATATCGAGGCCAATTCACCTTCAAAAGTACCAAAAGATATCATCCCGTTGTTGAACTGCACCAAACTGATTCCATGTAGTTCGTCAGAATATGAACGAGGTTTTAAACTCATGAACCTAATGACTGATTTGCGAAGTAGACTCTTAACCAGACATGTTTCGAGACTTATGTTTATAAAACAACATGGACCCGGTACAAACAATGTCGAGGAGACACCGCAGAGCAGACTACACTAGGACACGCTCGGCAAAACCTTCTCCGGAAGAAGAAAATCCATTTGTTGAGTTATTGTAAATTGATTAACTTTTTAAACTCAATTTCTTGAAGTTAAAGAAAGTTAATATGTTCATATATTGTAATTTAATTAAATGTGAAATAATTTCGTTTCCATGTTAAACACCACCTTTCGTTCCTCTTATATTGTCATGTAAATAATAAAACTTTGTTATTATAATTGTATGGATTAATTTTACAATAAATGGTTACGTTTGTGTCTCCAAAACATTTAAATTAGGCTATGTTTTCTTCTTTTCTCACAATTAAAATAAAATGAAAAATCAACAATTCTAGAATTTAAATATTTTTGAATTGAGCAAATGCACATACATTTTAAAATATGTAGACGTAACTTTTATTAAACAAACATATATTAATGTTTTACTTGTAAAAAAGTTAAGGAAAGTGTGCTCTTCTTCTTCTTCATGTACCATGTCCTTTCAGAACGATGGTTACCATCATAGCTATCGTAATTTTATTCACTGCCACTATAAATAGCATGCTTGTATCAACACCATATGAATCTCGCAAGTTCTTTAACCATGAGGTTCTTCTTCGTCCTGGACTGCGTTTGCCTGCTATTTTTTCTTGCATGATATTTTGTAGCAATCTATATTTGGGACCTCTTATTACATGTCAGACAGTCAAAACGGGTACTAAGAACCTCTAATAAAAAAAGCTATAGTCTTTCCAGATTGACTTAATCCTATTGACAAAATCAAAACATTCTTGGCGAATGAGAATTTAGATGCATTTCGATGCTCAGTTAGAGAAAATTCATTAGAATGCACACACACCAGTGCTTTTAATAAAAGAAAATCTTTACATAATGAATATAAAACACAACCCATGTAACACTTCAGACAGAAAGATTTATGAATCGCAATATAGTCAAAAATATGATTGTGTTCTTATTTTAAAAGGTAATTTTTAAACTCGACTCAAAAACTTCGATCTAGCACAGAGCCAGTATTCATTGATGTCTCTTCCAAATTTTGGTGGTAAATCGTCTCACAGTGGAACCGTTAATGTCAAAAGAAGGAAAAACTAATTTTTTTACGTAATTATTTAATACGGTGACATTGGAACTATATTTATATACCAAGCTGGAACAGTAGGCGGTACTGTAGACTAAAACGAAGCTTCATACTATGGTTTCTGTATTTTTAAATGTTAAATAATATTTTTAAAATTGTATAAACTAATTTTATTATTTATTAATTCTTTTTTTAGTTTAGGATTTTTTTTACAATCGTCGTACAGAGTATATTTATTTAAGTATTTGATTGTTAATTAAATTTGATCACCTTAAACGTAAATACAATTTTGATAATTATCTGACGTCTGTCAATAAATAACAAAATGCAGATTATTTAAAAAACAAAATATTTGTTATATACTTACTGGGTAGTTAATGCCATAAGATGGTTACATTTTTTATTTCCTC